CCATCGAATCTCATTTATAGTCCCCTGGTGGTAAATCCACTCTTGTAGAACTCTTTTCACTTCTAGAGTGTAAAAAGGCAGCCGCAACCGTTTAACATTCGGGAAGAAATTGATAGCAAACAATTTTTCCAGCAATGTATCACCCTCAATGCGGGCCTAGTTCCGCGGTCATTGTAGTGTAGCATGCGTTATTCGAGAAGGGTCAATGATACTCTTGGTGGTTTGACGTTGGAAGACAAAAGCTAGTTCTTATCACAAACCAGTCAAGCTTTCTCACTATCACACGTTCCCAAAGTGAAGAAAAGGAGAACTTGTTAATGATCGTTTCGTCATATTTCAGTTGAAAGTAATTCGTAACACGTAAATCCTTATCCATGTTGGGCACTAATGAAGCTCACTTCTCTACTCTTCATAGCCAGGAACAAATAATTTCTTCTCTTAGTGTAATAAGTCAATCTTAAAGTGATTCTGCATCAAAATTGCGCTTTTTGCTTAGCCTATTTAGCTCATGTGGTGCATTTGCAACTCTAAATACGATGTAGCAAAGTGAAGGAGAAGTCGGCGAAATTTTCCTGCTGAAATACAAAAGTTGGAATCGTATGAAGTTTTGCTCCATCAGCGTTCTGTGAAATTGGAGCTGAAAACGAAGGGGAAACAGTGGCACTCTCTACCGGTAGACTGGACCCTTTTAACGCTACAGTGCATGCATAACACACAATTTAGTGAACTTTGCGGGTTCTTGTGCCTTGTTAGACGTAACTCCTTATCTCATGTCATGTTTCAGTAACTTTTGCTGATTTGTTTATCCCTTTTTTTGGTGATGTGTCACTAGTTCATATGTCCATTTCAGATCAAGGACTCGTGTTTCTGGGGTGAGAACTTCATACTTAGCGGTTCGGAGTGTGGCCACGTGTTAGCGTGGGATCGAGCAACGGGAGAGCCAGTGAATTTCATCAAATCAGATACCGTAGTAAATCGTCTACAGCCTCATCCATTCCTCCCCTGTGAGCTGTTGTGTTATTGTTACCTTACATATTGTTGTACTTTCGGTTTGATTAGAGGGCAGAGGAAAGAACTCTTGTTCGGTTACTATTTAATTAAACCAGAAAGTCATGCACAATTTATGCGTTACTAAGTATTTTTGAATGAGATTATGATGTCAAGCGGCTATTTCCTTATTCAAGCCTGTTTGTAATCTGAGTACTATCACTACAGGGGCATCATTGATGGTGCGCAGTTGATAACCGAGGAGGTTAAAAGGGACTCTTTTCGATTAGACTGGTGGAGTTATCATTAGGTTAAAATGTGGTCACTGGTCACGCTGCCAGTTATCCAAATTGGGATCATGCACATGCCCTACACATGGCCTGCTCAGTTAGAGGCTGAGGTGAGGGGTAACTTTATCATCTTATTCACAGGCGCAGGGCAATGAACCCCAGCTCAAAGCCCAATTGCTTGAAATAGTAATCTTGCTGGTCACTTATTTCGATCCCGTAGAGTTGAAGCAATTCGTATGCTACGAGATTACAAGGAAATTTGACTTCAAAATATGCTAATGGCGGACCGCATAGCATTGTGTTGGTGCTGTATTTTTCTCCCGACCTAGTGATAGTCTTTTAGCTGCTTAATGTTTCCTCTTTTCTGATGTTTTTGTTTTATAAAAACTAAGGTTGAACCAGGTAGCTTTACCACTATGGACAACTTTGAGTTGCCAAAGCACGATTTTTGATGGTTCGTTTTTGTGAGGGTATCCTCTTCCTATTAGTCAATCGAGGTTACTTTTTTACTTGTTTTTGAGAACGCGATGGAGTTCACTACAGACTACCGTTGTCATAATAATCTATTCGCATTAGCGTAAAGAAAGATACTAAGGTTTGTGGGTGTGGACGGATGGCTGAAGTTCACCGAGAATCAAGGCTATGCACAATGAAACACCCATTTAAATAACTATTGTTGAGACTTTTCTTCATCCATTTTTTAATCCAGCCATCAAAACGTGACCGGTACATTAAACGCCTTGAAATTGAGTTTGAGGATTTTGCTGGGGAGAGTTTCCGTTAACAACGCCGATGGCAGATTCGTGGTTCCAGCTTCAATTTTTGTGAGCTTCACTGTGAGGATTTTAACATCTGAGGATGAACAGGGCTTCACATAGAGTATATGTTGAGTGTTTATCGTTAATCGTAGTTACTTTGACCCGAGAATAAGTCACTTATTTGAAGATACAAAGTCATTTCGTCCAGATAAATTTGGTACTCTTTACTACCCTCATTTTCTATTCAATGCTTTTTGTCAAATCATTTCAAGTTGCTTCAAATTGTTGGAATCTAGTGGTGCGTCAGCAGTTAATCGGCTTCGTCCAGAACTAAAGCTTACCATGCTTGCGAGCAAGGCTCCAATTTTCTACGTCGAGTTTCGATAGATTTACCTATCCAGTACCTTCCTGTTCTTTTGGTGTTTTATTTTCGCTAAACCTGCACTAGAGCGTATCAGGGTGGGAGAGGGTGTCGGACGGAGGGCTGCGGAGGCTATTGACGTGCGCGGATGCCGATATACGGCGGAAGGGTCGACACAACTGAGTACACTCAACTGAACGTCTCTTGCTTTTAGCTGATACAGTTCACAAAATTGTAAAAGCTATGGAGCATGCAAATCTGCGAGTAGTTCTATTAAAAAGTACGTAGTGCAGCTGAGAAACCAGTGAGACATCTACGTCCCCAAGACGAAGGGTCTGCATGATTTGTGCGTCGACTTGAGCAGTTTTTCTTTCCAATGCCTAGATCTTGCAGTGAGTGGTGTGGATTACACAATTAAGCTTCTTCAACCAATGCCCCTTCCTTTGGATGAAACGGAGGATGACTTCATTCATCGTATTGAAAAACGCAAAGCTGATGCGGCTGAGGTGACGTCAAAAATCGCTTTATTTTCCGCCTATGTTACTTTTTGGCATCCAGAAGAATGGTAGAGGGAGGTTTTCATTTTTATAGTTAGTAAGTGATACTTCATGCCAACGTCGTGGAGCCCATAATGCCCTAGGGTGCGTTATACAGTACTGGGTTTCTAACAACCCTGTTTAAATGTGCTTCTGCATAAACCGAGGCCTCTTAAATTGCAGTTGATGAGGCTAAATCTCGCGATGACACAACAGGTGGTGGAGAGCAGCGTTTCTCTACGTCAACAGCTTGCAAGTTTTCGAATTGGACGAAGTAAGTTCAACGTGTGATGCGGCTAAGTTTCGTGCAGAAATACTCCACGTCCAAATCTACCAAAAGTGAAATAAACTAGGGATAGGTATTTTCAAGTCAAGTAATTTTAAATGCCTTAAGAGTGTTGAGTTTGACACCGAGACGACTAGGTAACTCCTTGGTTGTGCTTTCTCGATGTGTACCACATTTGCGACTGACTCCTTTCGTCACGCATGCAAAAAGTGCCTTTAGGTGGTAGAACTACATGTAACTTTTCGGAGTATCCTTCAAGTCATAAAATCCATGGTAATGCAAATTAATGGCTTCGGGGTTATGCGTACTTTTTGGCTAGTCTTCTCCAGCAACTAGCAAACGGCTACACAGTGGCTGCTGGCCCCTGATTGAAATTACGTTCCTTCGGTTTGAAATTGTTGTTTTTAATAGCTTTCTGCAGCATGTCTTCCTCTAGTAGCCTTGGCGTCGAGTTATTGTTGTACTCTAGGCTTGACATAATCCGTTGCTTTTGGAACTGATTTTAGTGTGCCCAAGTTTGGAGATGACTATATAGAACTGGAATTTAGGATTTTATGGAGAGTTGATACTCATCCAAAATGCCTTTGTAGTTGATCTACAAATATTGCTGTTGGTCTTGTGGCCTTCCAGGTCTTTCCTTAGGCCTCAAAATGTGCGCATCGCATAGAAGAGATGGGAGAACTGCACAATGTGCTGGTGTAAAATTTATGCCATGCTAATAGCGAATGCAGGTAGTTTTTTTGAACTCATTTCTTGCAGTGGCGCGTCTCTTTCTGCTACAATTGGCTGAAAGACAAACTGGAAGTGTTTCAACAACAGCAACTGCGCAAAATGCAAGTAACGTTGATCGCGACCGTGGAGATGATGATGACGATGATGATGCAGATGACAGTGACGACAGTGATGACCGAGATTCACCTGATTGAATGTCTTTCCAACCAGATAACCTTTCATTGTCGCCACCTTAGACGCATGTTATTTTACCGTATTTTAGTATAATGTCAAAAGACCAATTCGCTTCCTCTTACTCAAAATCTAGTTAATCACCATAATTTTAATTGGTCTAGCCAAAATTGTCTATACTTTATGATACTACCAGCATTCAGAATCCGTTCGGTCAGCATGTGCAATAAAGTGTGGTTCCCAAAGGAAACTGACTGCCTTTTTGCCAAACTACCTTGTTTGCAGTGAAAAAGAGGCCGGCCCCTTGAAGTTTGCAGCGACACTTAGATGATACTTCGGAAGCTAAGTTAATCATTAAAATCCTAACCAAAACTTATCACTTTTCCCATGGAGAAAACTCGCGATTACTCTCAGGTGAGCATGAAGCGTACTCGATGTTTGATCTTTTGGGAGTGAGGGTTCAGCGGACTAGATCATTTTAAAACTATGCAACACCATCAAATGAAACCAAAAATAGTACGTAGAGATGGACTCAAGCACTTTTCAAGGGTCTAACAGGAAAAGTTCGGTCTATTAAGGTGTTATTATTGCCACTCGATGAGGTTAGCAACTTTGGGTAGGGTGCCTGTGACGATAGTAGCACTGGATCATCAGTCGTACACATTCACGGTTTACTCCTGGATTTGAGATTGCACAATTTGTAAAAAAGTAATCTGCGCTTTGTTAGCAAAAAGGGGAGTTTATTCACAGCACCAAAATTACCGCAAACAACGATAGATAAAACATGGCAACTCAACCGTCTAGATAAACCATTTCAAATTCATCATTACAATTGTTTTGCAAAGCCAACAGTCTTGCATCGACCCAACCATCGATGCAAGCACTCCAAGCCTCTTTGATTGCCTCCGCGGCTTCGGCTCTCTCCTCAGCAGTCGCGCCGTTGAGAATGGTTCTTAAACATGCATGAAGCGATGGAAAATGAGTTCCAATCAATGCCTCAACACCAGAAGTGGAGACCACCACAGGCATGCGTCCTGAGACGTCGGCCAACTCCAAAAGAAAAAGTAACGAAACGTCAAAGCTGGAGGTGGGTTTGCAATCGCAGATGCACCTGTGCGAAAAGAGCATTTATAGCATTTAGACGAAAGGTTGATCAAAGAACGGACTATGTAGCCAACTGGTAGCTTGCCGCTCATTGTGTTGGATCCTTCTAACTTTATAACAAGCTCTACACTTAAGAAGAAGATGATTGTGAATGCTTCCCGATTTTGAGGGAACAACACCGGTAACCTGTCCACAAACCCGAATACGACTCGGTGGAGAGAGGGATGATGATTCACTAATACTTCCGAGATCTGTGGACTTCCGTTTGTTGAAGACCTCATAAAATTGTGCTATTGTCATCTGAAAGAACAAGTTGAGGGAGAATATCTCAGCAAGTAATTCCAGAAAATGAACGAACATGTCACAAGCATACGTAAAAATTCCTGAAAATCACGTAGGAAAATATGCTTGAACGGGAAACTGCTATAGCGGCGTTGAGAGAGATACAATGATGTGGGTGCCCTTTCCTCTGGCAACTAGAAACAAGTGTCCGATGGAATTCGGTGAACAAGGATTAGGACTGAAAGTGGGATACGGGAAAACAATGAGGATTAGCTTAAAAGTGTGGCGATATTTCAATACTGGCATGCATGTGACACAAAAAAATCCCAATCTCACGACACAGAACATACACCAAAATTACAAAAACGTCAGTGGAAATATCCACGAAAATAGGACGTGCAAAAAAATCTATCTTAATTTTCGTACCAAAAGCAAACAATTAGTGAATAGCATAGTATACTTAGAAAGTCAAATTGAGCCGAAATCACACATTTCACTTAACTACTATAATCCTTTAATATGACTATACCAAACTGTTCAAGCCTTATAAAAGCGTTCCAAGTAGCAAAAAAAAAACAAGTAGAGCCCTCACCACAGGAAGACAATTCATATCAGGCCACAATGAAGCGGCGTTTATCGGTCGTCGTGACATCTCACCGAGCCTCAGCCTTTCTAGCAAATCCATTGAAGCCGTTTCTTCTGTCAGCACCTCGATCCTACGCCCATAGCGGTGTCCACCTCCGTGCATTTCCACTTTGCGTTTGTCCGGCTGCAGGAGAAAAAATGGAACCTTCATCCATTACCACTGCATGAGGACTTATGAATGCCGCATCAGCGCACATTGTACTTGGGGATGCAGTGGAGGTTGAAAAGGCGTACAAAAGCCCCAGGTTTCAGAGATCTGATAGATTCCGCATGTTCGTCAAAGATGAAAACACATACAGACCAATCGACCACTTCTGAGGAAAAGGAATGTTTTGTGATACAGGAAAGGCGTGGATCCATCAGCAATCCATCTGGAGAAGGCGGGTGCTCCAGATCAGAATGCTTGTAAAATGGAAGCAGATGTAAGTTGTCATTTGGAGGCTCACCATCCCATATACAAAGGATGAGATCGTTGCTGACTTCTGATGGATAAGAGTATATTGCAACCACCTGCAGGAGAGAGTCCATGATCAAAAACTTAATTAATGGATATCGACTGGACTATTAGTGTTTATTTTAAAAATGAATATACTATCTCCCGATAAGGAGTGACTAACATTCTATGTTTACCGGAGAAAATTTTACCTGAGCCTCCGTGTTGAAGAATGAGTTTAACTTGACTGAATGAATTCGAGAAAGATTATGCATATCCTGTTCCACCTGTACCAAAGGAAATAATGTGTTTTCTCAGAACCAACCTCGGGATGATTCAACAATTGCAGTCCTTCCTTCTCGAGAGGGCAATCGGGTGAATTATACCAATTCCGCAGTTCTTTTACCCGAGACAAGTCCACGTCAGTAAACTACAGCAAATCAACTTTCAGGTAATTCATTTATACGGTGCAAGCAGAGGTAGGTTCGTAGGGAATTAACAAAGAGTCTATTGCTCCGGGAAAAACGGTCACAGCAAATCCAATGCTTTCCGAGCCGTAACCCTGTAATCGTCCACGAAAATCCGATACGCTTAACCGGTGCATTATTACAATGTCGCCTGGAGAACGTATCTAGTGTCGAATGCAAACAGATGTCAATTGCGTAAGATCGGACTTACCGGAGGCAGCTTTTCCACATTGTTATTAATGATAGTGACACTGAATTTATCCCCCTTTAAGGATGGATCACTTATGGATACAAACATAGAGAAACCACTGCCACGAGTTTTTTTGGGGGGTTTAAAAAATTTTACCACAGCAATGACGTTGTGACGCCCTTCTGTGATATTTCGCAGGTCTGTAAACTCATACTGATTTTGCGGCTGCACATCAGAAGACGCCATTTCGGCAGCCAACTACGCCTGTAATAGCTCTAAC